ATGATTCCACGTCAGCTCTTGCAAAAACTTAGGTCTCCCTTCTTTGGAAGTTTGACAAGATAGCCCTTCTTTCAATCTGCAGCTACATTTCCTTCCTTCCTCCCAAACCTTCTGCAGTACTCCGCTGTTGTCTCTGTGTCTGTTCTCAGTGCTTCTGGTGGGATTCCATCTGGTCCTGCTGCTTTCCCACATTTCAGCAGCTTTATGGTGTTCAGGACTTCCACTTTCGTTGGAGGGCTTGTGTTCACTGGTAGTTCTGTGGCTGGGCTGTTGGTGGTATTTCTGGACGAAGTGCAGGTGGTCGTGGTGGTCGATTCAAAAGCTTCTTGAAGTGGTCAGCCCATTGTTTCCTTTGTTTCTCTTCTTTGCTAATTAGATTTCCTTCATCATCTTTTATTAATTTCATCTGTGTTGATCTCTTCCCTCCCAAATAGTAACCTGGTTATTTGATACAATGTTGTCAGGTGTCTGTCTCTCCTACCTGCAGCCTGTTGTGCTTCACTTACCAATGTGTCATAGAAGTATCTTCTGTCTTTGCGTGCACTCTTCTTCACTTCTTTGTCCAGTGTAGTGTTTTATACATTGTACTCAGTTCCTCTTGTCGTTGAGCATCTTTGCACTGGTTCATCTTCCTCTCTCTCCTATATCAGCCTCCATGTGTCCGTCGAGATCCATTCCCTATCTTGTTTCCTCTTCCTTCCTAATACGGTTGTGCAGGTTTCTTACCACATAGCTTTCAAAGAGTTCCAGTGTTCTTCTAAGCAGGTTTCTTCAGGGATGTTGCTCAATGTCTCCCAGGTTCAAACATTGTGCGGATATTCAATGTCCCCACGTTTACTTCCGCTTTTATAGAGAGAAGCGAAGATACATCGGCCGACTGGCCTCCCGGAGGCTTTCACTAACCGGCGTCATTTCGTCTCTCCGATTGCAGCGAGGAATAAGTTTTTTTTATTTTTTATAATTTCTTTGTGTTTTGAAGTTTCTTCAGCGATTGGATTGGTTTTCTGTGGTAAGGTTGCTAGCCCTATGCCCAACCTTCCCTCTTTGCCCGGGTTTAGGACCGGCTAGTAACTAGTGGACTAGTTAACCAGGAGAGGTTGCTATTCATCAGAAAACAGTTATTGTATGTTTTATGCCTGTCTGTCTTCTATATGTGCCAATTCCAGCTTATGCAAGTTGTACTTACAATGTAACCTAAGTAGCCACCCACGCAATCATTCCTATTCCATTGACACTTTCTCTATACTTGCCTGTTATGGGTCATGCACACGTCTGTCTAACTCATATTTTATGTTTCTGCCCTTCACTCTGATTGGCCATCTTCATCACACTGATTGGTTGTTGCACGGACTGGTCTTAGTCATTCGGCTTGTCTGTCCGCTGGATCTTATTCGTTCCTTTGAATTCATTTGAACAATTTTCGCTCATATAAATGGCACAGTTGAAGGTGGTGTTGATTATTATTATTCTCGTGGTATTCTGTATTCACAGTACTGGTTAGATAATAAACTTTAATAATTTTACCCCGAGTGTTTAGGGTTCACGTCAATTTGGCTGGATGAAGTCCAGCAATTCACCTTTCGCACTTAGCATTAGGCTTCAAATGATTTGTTACTTTTCAAAGGTGATTTCGTAACATTCTAATAATTCACTTCATATAGGATGAATAATCATTTCAAGGATAGACGAACAAAATCAACACTGAACCCCGCGTAGAAGTGAATTACTTCCATTTGCCACACACTTCACATTAGCATGCAATAAATATGAAGATTGATATTCGAGATAATGGTGTATAGGAGGAGAGAGAATTTAAAAATTTTGGTTAGTGAAGAGATTCAAGTTTTTGAAAACGTCAGATAGTGAATACATCTGTGACCGGTAATCGAGAAAGATTTCTAGTCAGAAGAACTTAGCCAATAAATGAGTGGCATTTCTTGATACTTATTACTATACAGGAGAGAAATGGTCGGTCACTGTTTGCCCGTTAATGTCTTGAATTGATGCCTCAAGTTAGCAGTAGAATCCACCATATGTGCGTTCCGTCCTATCTAGAATCCGCTCGTCAGCTGGGTGTGCCCGCATCCCAGTAAAGAGTGAATGTGTCCCCAGGTAGTAAAGCATGACAACCCTCTCCTGCGCAACGAGTATCACTGGCTGCTTATTGACGTTTTTAGCTTCCGGCCCAGTGACTACTGACCTACAGGTTCGTTGAACAGACGGTTAATTATTTCAGTCGTATTTTTTCATCTATTCCAAATATTAAGTGACCAGTATACAATCTTCAGTATACTGCAGATCAACAAGTGAATAAATTTATCGCAACTTATCCACACACATTTTTAACGCGTGTTTTTCAAGTGTAGACAGACAGTTATGAATTGTTGCTACCCAGGTATACCTGCTGAAGTTCTATGGTGGTTTATTCGATGCGGCCGAATATTAGTCGATCGCGAATAATCTCCTTACTGAAAGTCTACGATTTTGGAAACCACATTTGTATATCCACGTTTCAAAACACCAAAATTGAAACTGATCACTGGAATACTAGCCCCAAACTAATGAAAGATTCAGAAGACAAGACTTGGAATGCAAGGTTTATAACCCTGGTAAAAGCCGAAAACTGAAAAATACTGCTGTTTGCATAGTTACTTTACTGAATGAATAACTGCGAAGTTCAATTTCCAAAAGTTATCTCAGACATTTGTTAATAATAGACCAACCTTTGGCCAAGGTTGATAGATAACACGACTCATGGCCAAGGCCGAATAATTGGTCAATATTTGACACGCAAAAATACTGACCAATCATCTGTCCGTCATAACAGTTTCGAAGAAGTATTCCTTGCCTGTTACACATATATAAGACGCACTATAATTTGATGTACTAAAATACACCTTTCCAGTGGTTAGTACATTATTGAAACCTTAAAGCTGGAAAGGGTATAATTTAAGTTTGTCTACTAAATACAAATTTTCTAATAACTCCTTGTTGCAAAGGTAGGAAAATTTGTTTGCTTCAGCGGTTGTGCTCTACTCCAGTAAACATTCTTAAGAAGCAACAGTTATTGCTCTTCACCCTTCTATTCCTACGCTATGATACGATTTGAAGTGATCTAGTCATATTCGATAGACTAACTCAAATTAAAATGACAAGTGGTGAGAACCCATCATGAGGATGCCTTGCTCCTACCAAGTAGGTTTCGTGTTTGTTGGCACTCATCAGCAAGGGTATCTGCGCGAGCATGAGGAAACTGGAGTTCCTTCGTCGATTCGAACCTGCGTCAGCCAGTGATGAAGTTATAGGTCTTACCACTAAGCTATTTAGGCCGCGATTGACCCACTATAAGACTGGATTGTTTACACGAGTTAGTTACCAGTGGGTAATAACGTGTAGCTGCCCCAGTTAGTCCTTAGCAGTGATGGATGATCAGTGATATCAAGTACGAAACTTAGGTCCACTACATCCCGCAGACTGCGCCCCACCATGTAGCACCAAGATAAAATGTCATATCACTTCGCCTACTGGACACATTGTAATACGAAATCGATCGACTTCCATTAGTGCTACATAGGTTCCACAACGTTGACCAACTCTGAAAATGTCAGTTCTCACACATTTTAATGGACAGCGAAAAATCATTCGAAAGGTGTTCACAACGATCAAAAGAGACAACCAATCACAAACCACACTGCCAAGACAGGCTACTGAATCATGCACAAATAAAGACTTAACTTATCCAACAAATCGATGTTAAGTATTCGGACATGGGATGAAAATTCATTCCACAACGTTGACCACATTTTATCCAGTAGGCAATGAGTATCACACATCCGTTTTATGAAGTGAAGTATATCACTACATATCAAACTACCTTTATCCTGGTAGATGGAGTAGGGTTCAAACTAGTTAAGTAACTGGTTGAAAGTTAATCCATGAACAACGTAAGTGGAATTGAACAGTGTGTCAATTCAGTTTTATTGAACATACAAGAACAAGTAAAAAGTATTATTATTATTATTATTATTATTATTATTATTATCATTCTAGTTAGATTAGTCCTACAAAGTCAAGTAATAATAGACAACCAGAAAACGAAAACAACAGCAGAAATCGATGTATAATCATATGATAACAAGAAGTTATAAGTGAAAACGAGGAACACATGAAGTAAGAATCACCGGCAAACTTGTTGTTTAATTTGTAGTTTTCTTGTCAAAATAACAACGAAGACATAAGGAGTAAGCATATATAGAGAAAATAAAGAACAAATGTATTTCAGTGAATTATGTCTCTTGATTGCTTACCACAAAGTACAGATATTAGAACAGAAAAAGACAAAACACAAAGTTGCAAAAGAGGACAGGCACACCATCATCTGTACATAAATATACATCCACTTGTTTTAACTGGGAATAATGAGCAAATTACAACAATTTGAAACGGAATTACCAAAAACAAAAGGGATCCCCTGACCTTGATATTACATCATCTGAGCATTATCCGGAATGATTGATGATAACAGGAAGAAGAAACGAGAAAAGCACTCTCCACTCCACATAGAAAATAACTGTAAGTTAATAAATAGTAGCAGCCACATTATATAATCGCTAAAGTGGACGGTAAAGTTTTATTTGTGCGTTACACAAACACCACTAGGATTACATAATCAGCGTGAGCATAGAATATTATTATCCCGACATCATTTTCAATTTCACCTCATCAAACAGAAAAGAATTTCATCGAGTTTCATAACAAACACACACACACACAGAAGGGAGATCAGTTCATTCCGATTGTATATTAGAAAATTAAAACAAAAAAGAGGCAGTTAAATTATCGAATGTGTTCAACACTTCTAAAAGAAAGAAAGATTAGCCAGGGAAACGACAAAAAGTATAAGAGAAAAAGACTAACACATCGGGAAGCTGTAAAAAAAAGCCATACACATCGTAGTTAATAATAATAGTTAAGTTTGAGGTATTGAGTAGGTGAGGAGGTTAGACCTGGATTGACTTGGTGGTATTTAAGTGTTCTGTAGTATTTTCCCGATCAGAATCGATAATCTCCCATTTTGCATGCATTGGTGAGGTGATGCTATTCATCATAGGTGAATGATGCTTACCATTAATAATCGATCCATTGACAACACCATCATCATGCACTTGTGCTGCTTTTGCTGACTCGACATCCTCATCAACGGCAACACAACGTTCAATGTATAATTTATCATTATTATTTTTATCTGTTGGATATAATCGACGAACAGGGAATTCCAAGAGGAGAATAAAGCCAGCCAATAGAAGGATAAGACCACAGATCTGCATAGACCAAATGTATGTGCCAGTATAGTCAGCAATAAAACCTGTCAACAAACAAATAAGAAACGAGTTGAGCTGAGTTAACACATTTATCAACTGAAGAAGAAACAAGCAAGACACCAACGATAGGAAATAGAGCTGTTGATATTACCTCGACAGATGATGAAACGGGGGTTTGAACTCATTACCCAATACTACCTAGTTGAAAGCCAGGTAACTGCGTTAGTAGACCAATGACTTCAGATACTTTTTATATGACTTTATGGGTAGATAGATGTGGACCGATAACAATTGTAGAGTCTGGGAGCACTGGATGACTGGCGTTTTATTCGTCACACACCTCTAAACTGTCTGGTGCCCATCAATGACTGCTTCGAGATGTATCTCCTAAAATTCAATGGCTTATGACGTCACTGGTGGCATTGGATGATGGTTGGGCACACTATATTGCGAATTGACATAAGCAAGAAAAAGTGGAACGTTGCGCCCCGATCACGTGACTGACTGATAAAGTGCTCCTCACGAAATACAAAGGTCCTAGCTTGGACCCCTGGGTGGTGGGGTCATGGGTGTGAACTGTAGAAGAGTCAGTCGCATCCTAGTAAGGCGAAACAGCTGTTTAGAGTTAACTGATAGGTGACTAACTTGTGTACACGCCGTTTAATGCGCAGTCCGTTCATTATCATCACACCATGTGTCTGCCAAAGAAATATATGACATGGAAATTTGTAAGATGTGTTTTCTTTCATATACGACTACGAAACACAATTTAACGGTTTGAACGTCATCAAATAAGTGCTGTTATCTGACCATGCGGTTGGTGCAGACACTTGGCTTTCAATAAATCGGCTCTCCTCTAGGTTTACAAACCCACTCCAACTATCAAGTGAGATCTGAGCAGGCTAGGTTTCATTAGCCCTCATTATCTACTCTACACAAACTTGCATATGATTCTTGATTGGTCATCATTTTTTTTCCTATTTGATTACGGAGAGAGGTTAGTGAAATCGTTCAATGCCAACAACCAACAGTCCAGTGCAGATGAGGTGTTTTTAAACACAGTTAAAGTGACTGGCATAAATGTTGAATATGATCAACTTTCGTTGCAGTGATACCTAGGATGCGAAAAAAAATAGCAGGGTATTTATAGAAAAAGATAGAATATCTAAGAAGTATACACTGGTTTGATGCAATTCGTTCCCTGGAAAACATTTCAGCAAAGCCAATCACAACGAGAAAACGAAATCACTGACGTCATCTATGAAGCAAATATACATTTTTAACGCTACAATAACGTAGAAAAAAATTAAGATGAATGGTTAACCTTTTACAACCTAGTATAACTCGTTTCATTAGAGAACAAAACCTGTTAAACAAGTTATCCAGTGTTTCGATGGTAAATGGAGATATATCAGATCACAGCGTCCATACATGTAAATAAAATTACTAGGCAGATGGGATTAACAACTATCCTCCCTATCTATTACTAGCTCATGACTCCAAGATTACGATGTGAATGTGTGGGAGAAAAGAGTAGTATGGATAAAAATCCAGTTGGTATGTATGTATGTATGTATGTATGTATGTATGTATGTATGTATGTATGTATGTATGTATGTATGTATGTATGTATGTATGTATGTATGTATGTATGTATGTATGTATGTATGTATGTATGTATGTATGTATGTATGTATGTATGTATGTATGTATGTATGTATGTATGTATGTATGTATGTATGTATGTATGTATGTATGTATGTATGTATGTATGTATGTATGTATGTATGTATGTATGTATGTATGTATGTATGTATGTATGTATGTATGTATGTATGTATGTATGTATGTATGTATGTATGTATGTATGTATGTATGTATGTATGTATGTATGTATGTATGTATGTATGTATGTATGTATGTATGTATGTATGTATGTATGTATGTATGTATGTATGTATGTATGTATGTATGTATGTATGTATGTATGTATGTATGTATGTATGTATGTATGTATGTATGTATGTATGTATGTATGTATGTATGTATGTATGTATGTATGTATGTATGTATGTATGTATGTATGTATGTATGTATGTATGTATGTATGTATGTATGTATGTATGTATGTATGTATGTATGTATGTATGTATGTATGTATGTATGTATGTATGTATGTATGTATGTATCTATTAGTTATGGCCAGTGTGCAAGAACACTGGAAGTCTTTGAAAGAGATGTGGAAAGAAACCTGCACAGCCGTATTAGGAAGGAAGAAGAAAGAAGATAAGGAGTGGAATGGATCTCAATGGATACATGGAAGCTGACAGAGCAGTAAGAGGAGGATGGTGAAGCAGAAGATAAACCAGTACAAGGATGAACGACGAAAAGAGGAACTGAGTACAATGTTTAAAACACTACACTGGACAAAGAAGTGAAGAAGAGTGCACGCAAAGACAAAAGACACTTTTACGACATATTGGCAAGTGAAGCACAACAGGCTGCAGGTAGGAGAGACAGACACCTGACAACATTGTATCAAATAACCAGGTTACTATTTGGGAGGGAAGAGATCAACACAGATGAAATTAATAAAAGATGATGAAGGAAATCTAATTAGCAAAGAAGAGAAACAAAGGAAACAATGGGCTGACCACTTCAAGAAGCTTTTGAATCGACCACCACGACCACCTGCACTTCGTCCAGAAATACCACCAACAGCCCAGCCACAGAACTACCAGTGAACACAAGCCCTCCAACGAAAGTGGAAGTCCTGAACACCATAAAGCTGCTGAAATGTGGGAAAGCAGCAGGACCAGATGGAATACCACCAGAAGCACTGAGAACAGACACAGAGATAACAGAGGACATGCTCACACCACACCACTATTGCAGAAGGTGTGGAAGGAAGAAAAGGTACCCGGCCATTGAATGGAAGAAGGGTTACCTTGTCAAACTGCCGAAGAAGGACGACCTCAGTGTCTGCAAGAACTGGCACAGAATCACTCTCCTGTCCACAGCAAGCAAAATACTAAGCCGCATCATCCTGGAGAGGCTTAAAGACGCACTGGATTCAAAACTACGACCGGAACAGGCTGGCTGCCTTCAGGAAGTACAAATCATGTGAAGACCAAATTGCAACGCTACACTACGCATCATCATAGAACACAGTATGGAATGGCAGTCAACCATCCACGTCAACTTCATCCACTTTGAAAAGGCCATTGACAGCGTCGACCGAGAGGTAATTTGGAAGCTGCTTCAATACTACGGAATACCGCAAACCTTTATCAATCTCATTCAACAACTACATGAAGACACCACATGCCAAGTAATTCTCAATGGGAAGCTCAGTGATGCTTTGGAAGTGAAGACAGGAGTGAAACAAGTCTTCCTACTATCCCCCATGACATTCCTAATTGTAGTGGACTGGATCCTGCAACAGACGACTGTGAGGAGCGAGAAGAGGGGGACACGCAGGACCGCGGAGAAGAACCTAGAAGATTTGGATTTCGCCGATGACTTGTGCCTGATGTCAAACAAACTCGAAGATCTACAGGCGAAAACTAACAAGTTGGCAGAAGAGGCGAGGCAGCGAAGACGGGACTTCAAGTGAATATAGAGAAGACAGAGGTGATGAAGATAGCCAACCGACAACACCAACAAACTCCAATTACCATCGACGGGAGAAACTTAAAGGAAGTAATCTCCTTCACCTATCTAAGCAGCACTGTTTCAACTACAGACGGCACTGACGAGGATGTCAAAGTCAGAATCGGAAAAGAAAGACAGGCGTTCATTAGCCTGAAACCAGTGTGCAGATCTTCTGCACTCAGCATATGGAACAAGATGCGGATTTTTCAGCAACAACGTCAAGTCAGTGCTTCTGTATGGTTCAGAGACTTGGCGCATTACGAAAGGTATTTCCAATAAACTACAGACATTCATCAACAACTGCCTACGCTGGCTCGTTACTGAAGATCAGATGGCCAGAATAATAAGAATAAGCAACAAGGAACTCTAGGAACGAACCAACCAAGAACCTATCACCCAACAAATATGCACTGGAAGGAAGTGGAGATGGATTGGGCATACACTGAGAAGGTCGACTGGGGACATCACGCGTCAGGCCCTCGAGTGGAACCCCGATGGGAAGCGACGAGTCGGACGTCCGAGGGTGACATGGAGGAGATCGTGCGAGGAGGAAATGAGAGCTTGTGGGCTGTCGTGGAGCCAGGTCCAAAAGATTTCAGAGAACAGATCGCATTGGAGACGTGCTACTGAAGCCCTATGTTCCATTAGGAACCCAAGGGACATATAAAATAATAATATAAAATATAGTGTGTAACAACAGATTTTTTGAGACATACCGTCCAGTTTCATGGAAGACTTAAACCATCCTTCCTGTCGAGTGGATCAGGATGTAACACCAGGTGAAATGCTTCAGTTATCCATTTTCTCCCTGTAGTTCGAAAATGCATTTCGAATAATTTTAACATTTTCAATGTCATCTTTCTGACTAAGATAACATGAACAATAATTTCTGATTTGATTAGTAGATGTCATAGTTCTCCTGGATGATCTTGAGATCATTTTGTTTGGGTTTCAGGCTCTTTAGAACGAATACCGTTTTCTTAGGATGATCCCTCAATACCACCTGATCTGTAGACACTATTCTATCTTTCATGTGATCACTAAAGTATTGTTGAAAGTGTTCGCTGTCTTGTAGAAGGCTCCAATTTTCGGTGTTTTCCTAACATTCTTCGTAAATTTTCAGCTATACCCTAGTGGGAAGATGGAACTGTACCGTACTCATGTATGACTCTCAAGGGTTTCTTCTGAATGATGTTTTCAGGGTTCTTATTGCGATGTAAATCATCCCGGACTAATAACTGACAATGAAAAGACTTAACCCTTCTTATCATTTACATGGGTGTATTGTGAACAACGTGATCTGATCTGTTTCCACGTTCTGTTGAAAAATGCGATAGTATAAGACGTGGCTTTCGTGCTCTAGTGGATAACCCTTTGGTATTTAAAGCAATGGACACTGCGTTCGAGTCCCACTCGGAAGAATATTATTTACTGGGAGATGAGTCTCGAATAGGATTCCACTGCTAACCATCATTAAGTCAACTACAGGATAATGAATACACAAGCGGTATTGAGGCCTCCGCAACAGAAGTCGGGCAATTCCACTCACTCAGTGTAGTAACGAGAAATTACAAGTATGAATTAATCTTGTCTTTTCGAAGTGTATATATGTATGCATGTATGTATGAACAACGTGATCAGATTTGTTTCCATGCTCTATTGAAATATGCGATAATTTGTTGTATAGGTTATAATTCTCTGAACAAGCGTCTTCCACGAGGCTGAGAGACTGCAAAAGTTTACCTTATTTTGTAGGAATCTACTTATTTCCATTTCAAGCCATTTATCTACCCAATGCCAGTTGATGACTGAAAGGGGAATGAAAATCTGGCGTAACAGTCCCAAGATTCCAACCACTAGCAGCAATCTCTAGGTTACTGTTCCATTCCTCAACCAACTGACCAATGAGACGTAGTTGTCTTCACTTTCAATCACCAACGGGTTGCGTTCGACTGCATTCGACTGAGTTGATGATGCACTACTGTTCATTCATCGTTTTCACTCAAACTGACTGTTCAGCTCAGTTACCATTTCTCATACTAATTCAAATCAACCTGAATTAGACAGGAGCGAGTAGTCTATTGATTATCAGTTTAACAGCAGGTGTGGTTTGGAAGACTTGTATTCTACATAGTAAGTGAAATGAAAATCTGAGCAGCTGTCAACTTTTTGATGTACTCAGTGCTAAACTTTCACTTACTGGGAACTTATTGACGAGGGCCACAAACCCTAATTAGTAATGAAGACGATAGACAATCGGAATTGAGAAGGACAATCGATGTGTTACATCCCAAATAACTACCGTGACACTATCATTCAAAAAATTAAGAACTGTGCATTGAAGGACCTAAGAGGAAAATCAAAGGATGAATCGTGGATTAGCGCAGTAATTCCATCATTTCGCTAAGGTACAACTGAAAAGTTACAAAGGAATTTAATGAAACTCCGAATTAGAGTGTTCTACAAGACGACAAACCAACACTCTCAGGAATGCTTCAGTGATCACATAAAAAACAGACTGTGTCGATTGTGTAATGCTGAGTACATCGAGGAATCATTAATCCTATGAGATCCTTATTCATGAAGAACAGGTACAAAACTATTCAAAGTGGATTTTCAAACTACAGGGGAAAATGGATAGCTGAGGCATTTCACATCATGTTGTATACTAATGCTCTTTCTTTAGCACAAAGGAAGGCCCAACTATCCAACCAACTTGGACAGGACGTCCGAAATAACACGTTACACACAACAGTCATAACTAAAGTCAATACATAGACTGAATTTCTCATCCACACTAATCTTCGCATACATTTACATCTATTCACATCTTCCTTCAGTCTTAACTCACTACTATTCAAAACATGAGATAACTTGTTGCAGAGACTTGATTCTCTTGAGGAACCGATTTCTACAAGGTCGAAAAACATCAGAAATTGATTGATGTACCTGCCTTATTTGGGCATTCACAAATATTTACCCAATATGCTCAACTTATTCAACTCTATCAGGTCAAATTCAATCTTGAAACTTCCTTTGAAATCGCGGTGTATATATATATATATATATATATATATATATATATATATATATATATACAGAGAGATTAGAGGACCAGTCTCTCCGTATATTTTTCATTATTTTGATAGATAGAAGAAAAGTATGCAGCATTGTTGATGGGCTAGAGTTACCTGATTGTCTCGAGTTGACAAGATGTTGGAAAGAATTGTTCGAGGATTTAAGTAGTTGGCTAGAGATGGGCCCTCTTAAAGCACAAAAATCTCTGACTATTGATTTCAATCATGTAGGTAAGTGTAGACTTCCGGGTTGCGGTTCGTGCGACAACAGAAACCAGTGGTTGGAGGAGACTCTAGCTGATGACATTCTGTTTTCCGTTCACGAATCTGTACCGATTTCCTCTATATTTCTTTCTGTTTCACATCCTGTTACACACTTTATAACTCGATATGCTGATAAACGAAGTATGGCAACTTGGACCAGGTCTTTTTTAAACTTGTAAAGAAACTAACTAACCACAGCTATGCCCGATGTTTTTTATGAACAATCAGCACAATTTAGATTGGCACGACAAAAAGGAAGACGATTAGTCACGTACACACCATGGATTCACATGACAGCCCAGCAAAATCCACCAGTGATTGAAGTGGAAAAAACACAACTACAGGTCACCAGTTCGATCTCATAACTCACTTAGTAGAGGACCATCACTGGACCAGTACCCCTGATTCAAATCATATCGCAACCTACAAACGCTCATCATAATCACGAGCGCCATCATCAGTAGCACCACTTACCCATAAGAAATTGTCCCGGTGAGATGACCAATCCAAGAATGACCATAGTTACAGCAAGTGACTGAGCCAACTCTGACGAGCCAACCCAATCGCATAGGACAACAACCATTTGTGTCATTGCTGTCCCGCTACAAATACCATGAATAGCAAAGCAGATAAAATAGCACGCTTTCAATGATAATGAATCATCATTGCTGGAACTATTCGCCTAGATAAGAGAAGTAAATAAACAAACGAAATAAGCAACTGAAAAACAGTCAGTAAAAAAAGTCAACCAATGATTACTGCATCATCATTAACAAGATGTCGACACATACCCTAACCCTGTCTGATGCAGATAGACTAGGCGGATGGGTACAATTAGCTCTATTAGCTCTTGCCAACTTACAGCATCCGTGGAGCCACTGTGATATCCGACTGACTATTAAAGGTCGAGTGTACTGTACTGCAGCTCACACTCTGTTCTACTCTGTGGTTACGATTCATATCCATTGAGCATAGAGAACATGACAGAGCTTCTGGTGTTTGATCCCCGCTGGTTTCGCAGCATAGGTCGTGTGTCGTTGTCTCACCAGGTGGGTAACACAGAAGTCAGGTGTACAGTTGTTACAGGGAAGAGAGGAAAGATAATTCATCGACTCAGGTAGGTGGCTGGGATATGTGTTACACGCATACCTAGTCACTGTCTGTCTCGTCAATTAATGTTGGCTGAAGTATCCTCAGGCTGGAAAATGGTTAGGGGAGGCCAGATATCAGTGCATGAAATCCTGGACAGTTGGTCTGAACTATGTTGAGAGATGGAAAACTCCCCGGTTTGGATCCATGTGATAACAGAAACCAGTGGTTGGAGACTCTATATGGCTCAGAATCGATGTCACTGCCTAAGACGTATCCTGCACACATTATCTTCGTTCTAATCGACATACTGAATTACACTATTCTGTCGTTTCTGCTTATCCTATTTTCACGAGCGTCAAGCGCTTTCTACTACATTTTTCTTTATTTCTTCATTTTTCATCCAAATGTAACATTCTCCCTCAATATGCTGATGTGAGATGTGTGTGACAACTTGGATCTCTGCGCAGTAATCCCTGGCCCTATGCTAATATCGTCTCTTTATCTGTCTCTGGAAATCGTTGTGAAAACACACAAATCATGATATGACGCAAACCTTGCGTGATGCTTTTGCACACACACACACACACATCAGCATGAATTCGATAGTTATTGACTGAACACAGTAGAATCTATTGGTGTATAGTATACGAAACAAAACAAAAATAGTCGATGGGTGGAAAATGATTTTTCGTAAACACTTTACATGAAAACAACTAAATGGCAAGTACGTAAATATTTAACTAGGATATAAACAAGCACAAAAAACTGGCATAGAATGAAGTCGTTACACAGCTGAATCGGACTCAAGTTAATAAAAGGGTGAAACTTGGGCCCTATGATGGAATGTTACACCATTTATTAGATGTATGACACTTCGGAACAATATTATTTGCTAGATTACGTTTCCGACGCAGTTTATTGTCTATAGTCGGACCAAGGTAATTCGACAACTTCCAGATTTGGTTTATATCATTCTAATTCTCTCTGTTCTCCTTTATTGATATGGGTAGTGGAGTCTTCCATATATCTAGAACATGTGCTGAGTCATTCCTCTTGCATTTATTAGGTGTTGATTCGATCAACAAACATTCAGGTATCAATCTCTGCCTTCACGCTGTTATGTTAATTTTAAGGATTTTCATCCTATCCCATCCTATTATATGGTTGTATGCATTAGCTATGGCTAAGCTTCTTTCTAAATTCTTTACCTTACTAGGACCTATTAATTTTGACCTAGCTAGGTTTTTTTGTTCGGATAGCCTATTTAACCCTGGTCCACTACTTTGACCTATGTATCTGACCTCATAACGGCTGCAAGGGATTTTGGTAAACTAAGTTATTCTCCCTAACTGGATCAATAGGACCTTTCAACCTACAAAGCTTATCTGTAAATGAGTTCATTGGTTTAAATGTCTACGTGATGTCGAAACTCTCATCTTGTTTCCATTTTATTCTACAATCTAACATCGCTAATTCCTCCTTCACTATTTTATAATTTATAGGTAAATTGGATTGCGTTGACTATTGAATTTGACTATGTGAGGAAGTTATGTGTGCTCTAATTTCAACAATATGAACGTGTCATCTACATATCGAAAGCATACTTTTGGAGCAGGATTAAATGTTTTCACAGCCATCCGTTGTCAAATATCCATAAGTATGTCTTCCAGGATAGAGGATATTGGTCGGTGAGCCCATGGCAACTCTTTCTGTTTGTTTGTATATTTCATTCTGAAACTTAATGATTGCGGCAGTAAGGGACAACTGTACTCCCCCCCCCCCCCAATTGGCAATTTAGTTCGTAGGGTAAGCTCATGATCATTATTGAGCTTATTTCTAACTGTTTTGTGAGCCATGCCAATCGGTGGTATATTATCTATGCTTCAAGTCACTTAGATCTAAGTATTGACAATAAATTGTATCTGAAAAGTAATCCAGTCAATAATACTTACTGTTTTACTGAGTGTGAGGTACTTTTAATCGATCAATTATAACGGATTCATATTTCAAAAGAGAAAATTTACTGAAATGAACAAGGATGACACAATGCAGAGGTGAGGGTGTGGAGAGTACAAACGGTGAACATATCTCCATTGGAGTGATTCATTGCTTCTAAGTATTCTGCAGACGTCAACCAGTTTCCCTATAAAAGAAAAATCGACTGAAACGCAACCGTGTACACGTTTAAGCAGTACACAATAAGCCATATATACCTTTTATTTAAGGATTCATGATACTACAATCTAGCTGCCTAACGACCTTAGCAGACAGAGCGGGGTTCGAACCCATGACCCACCGGTCAGTAGTCAACTCTACAGAATAATGAGCCATAGATTCATATGCAGGTAGGATTTCAATATGTCCATTAAGAATATTCTGTAACTGAATATACTATAGGCTTGGAATACAGCTACTCCCAGTGTAAGGATGAGGAGTGAAGCGATAGAACGCGTGGACCACTTCACCTATAACGACAACTTGCATCAGCCAGAACGAGTTCGTTCCAGACGGAATCTCGGCTAGGATACTAAAGGCACCGAGTGGCGAGATTTCCGACTACGTAGTAAAGGACAAGAATAGTGAGCTGCAATCCGTTCCATCTTGTTGTACGGCTATGAAACATGACCTTAGAAAGTAGAAAATATAAAGAAATTATAGGTTTTCGAACACTCGTATCTTCGTAGCATAGTTTACGCATGGTGGAATCACTGTGTGACCAAAGTAGAGGTCGAACGAAGAGTGACAGGCAAAGAAGACAAATCGGTCGATGAGGTTGTTAACTTTCAGCGAATAAGATGGCTTGTATATGTGCTGTGCATGCGGAGCTACCACCACCTACCACGACGTGTAATGCTAGGCGAAATTGGATTAGATTGGAAGAAGGTACAGGGTGGTCAGATTGCGATGTAGCGCAAGTTCATGATGTCTCTGACTGTTGGCCTCACCAGCGAAGGCAAATGTACACTTCCTGGTTTCGGTTCACGAGACAACAGTAACCACTGCTTGTAGACTCTATGTGATACGAGAATCAATAACAGTGGCGCAGATGTATCCAGACCCTATTTCCATCCTAATCGTATATTTGTGTACTCCAAGACAATGAGGCGCCAATGTTTAGAGTAAGTCAGTACCTGAGAAATCAAGATTTCGCAGGGTCACCGTTTGTTAGCACTCATATATGATAAAGTTAAATAAGAATGTTGACAGCGAACATCGTTGGTAGATTCCACTGGTTATCAGACAACACTTCTTTGTAAGCTCTAACACACCTGTATAACTTCCAGTACACAATACTTCCCAGCAGACACGGTCAAATATATTACCTCCATGCAAGGAAATATGTCAAGCGTCGAACACTATTAAGTGTATCTATGCTCCAATACCCGTCCAATAGTGAAGATTCGGTCGATAAAACCTCATCCAACTGTGAAAGCTGGTTGAGTTTTATCGAGTTCGCTGTTTCTTAAACTGCAGGTTAGCCATCGGATGACGTTAGACCCACAATGTTAGTCAAACTGATTCATATGTGGTTAGTAAACGACAATTTCTCTTCTCTCTAATAAGTTGGAATGATTCGCAGAAAAGAACGTTGTAAGACAAGCATTAAGCTGATGCAACGATAGAACAAATACGCCCACATTTATCGCTGCGGTGAGTCTCCAAGCTTAGTGGTCACTTTGCGAAAATGATCGACAGAATTTGTTCAGACTAGAATAATATTAAACTGATCACTCTCCAGGGACTAATCATGCATATAAAGAATATCTTGCAGATATCCAGAATTGGTGTTGCATCATTTCGATCACAGATGTCAGATGCTGATTCGAACAGCAAAGCTTCAGTTATCAATCTCTGTCTCTCCATCAACGGTAACTTACCCTTTCAAATTGTCACTCCATCCCATCTTATTATGTGCGTGACGGCATGTATAGCTACGACTGAGTTCTTTTCAAGATTTCTTATCTTGCCAGTATCTATCATTCCGTGTTTAGTTGGATTTTTATGCTCTATTAACTTAATTGATCCCAGTCGGTTAAGTGGACCTGCGTAGTTGACCTCACCAACATTGTATGGAGTTCAACTTTCTCTGTAGGATGTCTTAGTCGACAAAGTTTGTCTGCAGATGAGTTTGTAGGTTGAAATACCGCTCGGTCTTATCGAAAATCTAACACAGGACTTGTGATTTCTCTTCTTTACATGTTAAAAGTAGGTTTGGAAATCCTTCTGAGTGATTTCATCAATCGTGGTGTTTCTGGATAAACTCACAGGGGTATTTGTTATTCAATAATAAGATATCCTTCATTTGTCTCATTTCTTCACATAGATTCTTTGCTCTGTTGCTTAGACATCTGACCAAGCTTCGCTTAACCGACATCGGATAGGATGACAAAAAGTCTAAGTATAGATTAGAGTATGAAGGATTTTTGTAAACACGAGTATCCAAGCCTTCGTTTTGCAATCCAATATAGTCGGTACTCATTTTGATGTTATTTGCATGATCGTGGGTTTCAGTAGAATCCAAGATATGCATGTCCCACCTTATTTGTCGGCTAGATGTACCTACATCGCAGTGAGTGATAATCTTCCACCTCCCCCAGAGACTCAGTTCAGTCCAGCGATAAATCTTGCGTTCGAATCTACCTGGAGACATCATCACTCACTGTAACACAAGTACATCAAACTGACAAGTGAATCACAAATAGCACGAAAGGCGCATATTCTGGGTTCCTCTGCAAGTCACCACAATCTAGTCAATAACACCGAGAAGAAACCTGAGGAAACATCCGCACTTCTATTCGAGGAAACCACATCCCAAGAATGACGAATCGATTTGATCCTATCTACTAATATAACTAATAATAATAATCAGTGGGAAAGTTAGGCGCATCAATAAAAAACTAGTCCTCCTTCACCACTTTCTACTTCATGTATAAATTGCATTGCGCCAACTATTGAGTTTATACATTATTAGTTGGTATGCGCGTAATTTCTTGCTGTTACTCTGGTTCGAATTGACCGACTGCTGTCGGCATATGGGCTTCAAGGCAGATGTCGCAATATCGCCTGACTATTTATTATGTTGTCATTTGTTTGGTGGGTAACACTGGTGGAAGACGCACGTGTTTCGGTACATTATACAAGAGGTGACTCTTCACCGCCTTAGTGACCTAGTGGATGACGAACGGTTTAGGGTTTGAGGCGATAGGTATTGGGTTCAAGTCCCGACAGTGATAACATAACTCACTCGGGTGTAGATACATCCAGCTGACGGGTCCAAAATAGGCAAAACGCCCGCATCCTGGATTCTACTGCCAGCTATCAACCACCAGGGTGCCCAAATTGTCATGTTAATATGACTGTTCTAAAACTAAAATTGGCGAATGTCATCATCAAGAGTGACTTCCAAAACTACTTATGTTAATCAGTAAGTAGTATAATCTCGTCTCATGTTATTCTGATTGATTCAACATATGGTATACGAATATAGAGATAGACATATTCTTTGATTACATATCTTAGTAAGCTTTGTTTCTTAGAAGATCAGACAAACCTGCAGATCGGCAGCCTGAGTGATTCCTAACTACTCATCAAGTTGTTCAGTAATAGTACTTATCACCAGTTCATGACACTTGTGTCAGAGATCAAATTACACATCTTGTGATCTTGGTTCACTGAAGGTAGTTTCGAACACGAAATTCTGTTGACACCACAGTTGATTGGTAATTGAGAATATATTCAGCTGTGAGAAATATGTCAACATGGACCAAACACAATTTGTAAATCATCTGGGAGCGGATCATTCTGTATTCTTCGATAAAACAACTTAATCAGAAAAATATACAAGTATGAAAAACAGTTTGCTGTCTGAAGAATTTTATCTTAGAAGCTGGTATCCCCTGTTGTTACAATCAAACATTCCCTTAGCAATCTCTCATATGCATGTTTGGGCAGTAGGCCACTGGTTCGAACCCCCCAAGGTGAACAGCAATTGGATATTGGATGACTAGATCAACGGAGTGAGTGAGTCAAACAGATATCCATCAAACCTTAATCAAAGAAAACCCAAAAAACCTATCCTGTTTTTGTTTCCGTCTCTCCCTCTCTATCTGCCTCAAGTGCCAGACAAAAAAATGTCAACCAACTGAAAATTGCCGGTGATTTGTGTCTGATGTCGCACAAACTCGATGATCTACAGGCGAAAATTAACAAGTTGGCAGAAGAGACAGGGCAGCGAAGACAGGACTTCCTTCAGGTGAACGTAGAGAAGACAGAGGTGATGAAGATACCCAACCAACAACAACAAGCATTAACCACCATCAATGGGAGAAACCTAAAGGAAGTTGTCTATTTCACCTACCTACCCACCTAGGCACCATCGTTTTAACTACAGGCGGCACAGGCACAGGTGAGGACATGAAGGCCAGGGTCGGGAAAGCAAGACAAGCCTTCACCAATCTGAAATCAGTGTGGGGATCTACTACACTCCACTCCACTCAGCATAAAGCGTGAACAAGATCCGGATTTTCAACACTAATGTCAAGTAAGTCAGTGCTTCTATATAGTTCAAAAACTTGGCATGTTACGAAAAGCACTTCCAACAAATTACAAACATACATCAACAGATGCCGTCTACATCCACTCGATACTGAAGTTCAGATGGCCAGAATAATAAGAATAAGCAACAAGGAACTCACTCTGGCCTGCCAACGAATCAACCAACAATCCATCGCCCAACAAATATGCAGAAGAAAGTGGAGATGGATTGGATCGCACATTACCCTGAGAAGACCACTTGGGGATATCATGTGTCAGGCCAGGCCCTCGAGTGGAAGTCGAATTGGAAAGGATGAGTCGGGCATGAGAGGATGACATGGATATGGTGTGAGGAAGAAATGAAAGCTTCTGGGCAGTCGTGGAGCTAGGTTAGGAGGACTGCAGAGAAGAGAATGAAATGGTGACGCGCTACTGAAGCCCTATGTTCCACTAGGAACCCAAAGGACAAATAATAATAAAAATTGAAAAAAGAGAAACACATCCACAACACACTTACATCATATTTACCAGACAATCGATTGAGTTCAGCGAAAGCAAAAGCATTCAAACCTTCAATTAACCATGTGAAAGCCAACAGAAGTCCACGACGACCAACACAAGCTGGTCTGTCTGTTAGCCAGCCAACTCCAACACGTGTAACTAAATCACCCACACCAGCAATAGCTATGGCTCGATTAACCTAAAATAAAAGATGCAGATGGGGGGTGGAGGGGGCAAAATATATTTAGCAATGAAATGGAAACCAAAATGGAATCAAAAGTTGAAAAAACATTCATCTTATATGTATCAGAACAAGAGAGAGACAGACACAAGTGCGTTGGTTCAAGTTGTCACACACTTCATAGTAGTATAACAAAAGAGTATGGGAGGAGAAAGAATTTAAAAATGGTTAGTCAAAACATTCAAGCTTCAGAAGACGTCAAGGAGTGACCGGTTTCAGCCATATCATACGTAAACCTTACCTCAGCCACTGACTCCTATCGTCTCAAGAACTCCAGTCAGGTAGTCTGCATCTTCCCCACATGAATAAGACTTTATCGACCAGTGGCAAGTTTTAGTCTGACCACCCTGAACCCACTTCCAACCTAATCTAACTTCCCCTAGAATATCACCTCAAAGCAGGTGGTGACTCGGTATCCGCAGCACATAATACAAGCCATCTCAGTCGACTAAGGTTCACAATCTCATCAGTCGACTTGCTTGTCTTGCCTAGTACCTTTCGCTTAACTTCAACATTGCTAACACAGTGATTCCACCCAACTCGAGCAATGCTACGAATACGTTATTGATCGAAAACCTGTAACTGTATCGTATATTCTGCGTCTCATAGCCATATAACAAGACAGAATGAAATGTAGCGTAATATACTGGTCCGTTAATGTATGGTCGGATATCCCGTCAATCGATACAGAGATAATACGAGTTAGTAAGTGCTAAACAGGCTTTGTGTATCCAAGCTGAGATTTTGTCAGCAACCAGCCCTCTCAGGTTGATGCAACTCTCTAAGTGAAGTGGTCAGTATCAATAAATGACCTGGCGTTGCTGAACAACGGTCGAAACTGCTACACTGCACATCAAAATATGAACATATGAAGCAAAAAATAATGAGATAAAAACGCCAAATTCAACAATAAAATATGATTAGATTATCAGGATAGATGTCTATATAAACCTATGCTACTCAAATCGACTCTGAGTAATGTCACCTACAGTCTGCAATCACGCAGAACTGAACCAAAGAGTCTATATTTTTGATTGATGCCATGCTTAAGCCTACCATCCTGAGTTTTTATCCAATCTAACTCATACCTGTAGACAATAACTAAGCATGCGCCAGCTACCTGAGTCGATTAAAGTCCTGCCCTTGTCAGCTTACAGCTCTACATCTGTCTGACTTTTAAGTTACTGAAGTGATGGTTTACACGACATACAACCTATGCTAAAGCAGTAACGTTGGTCGAATACTTGAAGCATCCTAAATATCCACCAAATTTTACGGTCATACACTATATATAACCAATTCAAATGCATCGTAGTGCACAAAACTCTTAGCAAGGAATAGAATATTTTATCGGCAGCATAACTGACTGGTATGAACTAATTTTGAGCCTCGAGATGGTTCACACAGCGACTCCATCATACCCGAGCAATGACATGGAGACATGTGTGATTGAAAACCAATAACAGAGCGAACTGCAACCCAGTATACTCGTAGCGTAGACAATATTTTAGGTGAATAAATCATAATAATAACAGTCAACCGATTCAAACAGAGAAAAATGCTGATAGGAATGTTAAAATAACAAACGAGACAGCCAAAACACAAATAAACACATACACAAATAGGCATAGACATCTTTAAACAGATAACCTTTGTAATGAACATTTCTGTTAAACCAAAAACAAACGAAAAAACAAAAGTGAAGTCAACTTATCAAAGAGTTGTCTATCAGCCAGCACATAAAACAAGAGACGAGGTCGTCATTTCTGCGCTAAACATACTTCTGTCTTCTTCAAGACAGATACTACAATAATGAGGTAGTCGAGTAAGTAGTGTGAAGAGAACACCCCCCCCCACCCCACCCACCCCCACACACATAGAGTAAACACAGATAACCAACATTCCTTCTACTGGCCATAACACACCAATGACAAGGATACTGCCAGCATACTGAAAAACATGATATTTACAGGATTATTACCACCAGCAGGTATGTAAGCTTATTCTCAATGAGTTTTATTCATTTCATATTTACCTTCTATTGTCAATAGACACTAATGAAAACAAAAGAGTCTTCATTGAGTTTATGCATCGTTCCACCATCTATCCACCCACTCTGAATAAACCCTATCAAACGTAAACAAAAGATCATATTCCGTTCAAATGTATAGGCACTTGCCAGCCCACGCACCCAAACCGAAACGCATGATAAAACTGAAATCCACGCGTAGTTTACATGACATCGCCGAGAAGAGCTAAGCATACGACAGAGAAGAAACTAAATAATGATTAGTTAGATAAGCTTGGGTGATTAGCTAGAAAACAGAAAGAAGGGAAAACCTTGTTTCATTCAGGTTTCATGCTTGTTGGAACTCGTCGGCAAGGTATATATCATCATATTTGCATTGATTGGACATTGGAGAGAAATCAACTACATATTGTCTAGGTCTGAGCGTTGACCAAATCCAATCGATCACTTTGCAATGTATAGGCAGCAAGCTAAGAGACTCACCACGATGGTTAGTTGGATGCAGACAGTCTCCAGGAAGTCTCGGATAGAGACTAGAGAACATGAATTTGGTTAGTCTTCAGCACTGGATGATGCGGGATCGAACTTCTTTTCTTAGGTGATATTAGTTCCCCCCCCCTGACAAATGCCAACAAGCATGAAACCTACGTTCATGGTTTCTTTCGTTCAGCTAACATCTATCAAAGAGCACTGCAGTGGCGGGTCTCGTAGTCTGTTGGACTACATGATTTCATATGTTGTAATTTTCCATTGTTTATTCGACCACCAATTGATAGGTCACTATTGGTAGATGGGCTCCTGGGTGGATGCATCAATATTAGTGGCAGTGGGATCCAGTGCACAAGTTGCATCCTATATGAGACTCATCAAGTGGATACAGTTGCCTCCCACAGAGTGCTATTGTCCCCACTAAGACTCGAAACTAGTACCAATCGCTTCGAATGTCAAAGCGTTATCTACCAAGCCATTGAGGCATGATAACCACTGACAACTTCAAGTCTCACCAAGTCTCACACCTACCTGATGCATCCCAAACAGGATGAAACACCCACTGCTGGCTACTATCCATTATTAACATCAAAGTTATTCGAAAGAAAAACACTTCTTGTGAATGCGTCAGAGGTGGTGAAATCTTTAACAGGAAAAGGCCATCAGTGACACACTCGGAAAAAAAGTGAGGTATGAAGCTAGGTGATGACGACAGTAACAACAACAATACCAGAAAAAGCCGCGAAGAAACAATAAGATACTTTCGTTCACTCACTCATCAACTTACACATATCTTTTGCATGAGAGTTTATGATACTTTCCAACTGGCTGCTCAGGCCTCAAACGTGAAGCAGAAATTGAAACACAACCCATCAATTACAAGTCGAGTGTCTAAACAAAAGAATCACGCCTCTATGCAGGAGAAAATGAACCACAGCTTATTGTGTGAAGGGCAGTGACACTTACTACTTGACTCCCCTAACGTTGGTAGGTGAAGCTGAGTTCAAACCTGCAATTCATTCGTCAGGAATCAAGTGTGTAGAGACCAAGCAGCCAAAGCAACTAAAATACGTCATTACACACTGAAAAGAAGACAACTTGGTGAGTAAGCGAAACGGAACAGGATCTGTATTCAGAAAGACATTATTACTCAACTGACAAGGGAATAATCAATTGTTTTCACCGATGAACTGACAGAAAGATAAAATAATATTGTACAATTTTAAAAGAGCAAGAAAAAACATTGAAGCATGCTAACGTGCATCCACCTTATAATTGTTTCGGTGGTCTTCATCAGTTGCTCATAACCTAGGATATTTAATAATAGCTAATTACAATGAAATGTCAGTATACTTTAGTTGGTTGACATTAGTCCAAACAGGATAATGACATAACGAACAAAGTAAGAGGACTGTTCACACTGGAAATAAAGACAAAATGCCATGCAATGATGATGGTCTCAGGTAGCCATCGTTTGGCAGACTTGTATTGTTTGATACTTGATGAAGGTGAGTGAAGGTGAAATGAAAATGTGAACCACGGCGGAGCATCGAACCGGTAACCTGAGGGTCGCGGCCAAGATTTTCACTTCACCTTCAATCAGTGTCTTTTCAGGACGAAAACTCTAGTAAACATTAGACTGCAAGGGGTTGGTGTCGGGTTGACGAACGAATGATGTGGAATTTTTAACAAGAGATTGAGCAGAGTCACTGAACACAAACGTTAGTTCCCTTGACAAATTTGAATAATACAAGAACAAAGATATTTGCAGGATAAAATAAGCTCATTTTCGTTTCACGGTCTTTCAGCAGCAGCAAACAGCCTACAGTTGAAATGCAATGTAGGTAGCCGTAGTAGTAATAGTGACGCAACATACATCAAATATATGTATTAAAAAAATGAAGATTTGGAATCCGGGATTAACAGTAAGATAGTGAGTGAGTCGAGGAAGACTGGACTTCAATAATCACAAATCTAGTCAAAACCAATGGCAATTTATATCTGATGAGATAGAAAATTCTGGAGCTGTAGAGTAGAGTGAGGAGGAGGAGGAATGCAAAAGAAGGGGGTTGTTCAAGAGCTAATAGGTTATGCAGTTACATGAAAGTACTGGAAATAGCGTTAGGTTGAGCGATTAACAGTCGGTAAGTAATTAATGAAGAGATGATGCAATCAGAAAATGGAAGACTATATGCATCGGTCTGCCAAAAACTATATACAGTTACCAGGGTAGAGAAAGGTTAATTACAGTCCCTTTCTGAGTATATAGGTCAGGTTGAAAATGTTTGATGATGAGCGCTTCTGCAAAACGTAAAAACACGGGATTAATTTTTTGTTGATTGATTATCCTGAAGGATTGATAAACATCTATTTGATGTCGTGTTTCCACCAAGTGCGCTGATCAAAACCTTGCTACCTTTCCAAACGAAGATTTCCCAGAATGTGCTCATAAAATCAAGTGGACACGCCTTTCTTTCGGTCTTTCCTATGGTATTTGCTTCCACAAGCCGTTGATTTCGACTAAGATTTGTGATTATTGAAGTCCTGTTCTTCCTCAACTCACTCACCACCTTATTGTTAATCCTGGATTATAAACCTTCACTTGTTTTTTCAATAATTGAAGCATGTTACGTCACTATTGAGAATACTACTACTAATATTGTACTTCAATTGTTAACTGTCTGCAGCTGATGAAAGGCCGTGAGACGAAAATAAGCTTATTTTATTCAGCAGTTGTCTTTATTTCTGCATTGTTCAGAAGAAAATAGATTGACCGTTTTCCAGAAGAACGGCTATCTGCGCAACTTCAAACGATGTTTGCATAACTCGTGGTCAATTAAAAAGTCATGCCCGGAAACCAACAAACGGATTGTCTTACCCTACATCAAAAATGTCGCCAAGTTCACAAATAGATTTTTGAAGCTTTCTCGGAATCACTCTATCCAGGCGAAAAGATACAATAACAAAGCGAGACAAACCATACAATATCTACAAAATAACTGCAGAAACTGTGAAAACACTACATCAGATAGTGGTTGCCGTCATCGCATCCATCTATATGAAGAACAACTAGCAGAGAAGCGTTATAACATACCTTAGCTCATATCATTGCATACAAACAACTGTGGACATAAATTTGACTAGGAAAATATGAAAATTCAGGATACAGGGAATACACATAAGCTTAGCATTTAGGTCAGTCGTCAATCAACAAACATATTGACATTGATCTAATCTACCAACCAATAAGGAACAACAAGAAGGTTAAAGTTCATGTCAGCAGAATATCGAGTCAGAATAAACATGGAGATAATGAGAAGATTTTGGCAGAAACTACCAACCACACACACACACACACACACAAATCATCAGGACAAGCTAATACGCAACTTGTGGAGAAACCTCCCATAGCTCATTTCTCTCTGAAGTTTGTGCTGATGGTGACATTGTCTAAAATGATAATGAAAGCTTCATGATTGAACCATCCAGCTCAGAGAATACCATACCATTAGAATCATCCTCCTGAATTACAAATATTCTCCATCATCACACAATGGAATGCAATAAAACATACTAAGTAGGACTCAGTGGATAGAACTTAGTGTATGAACTGGAAATCCAATTAGAGGTGCAACTGAAATAGATGAATTACTCGGCTAAATACTGAACTGCTTAAAACGTTAATGAACCCTTACACACCTCCACAACATGTACACACATATATATGAGGAGGCGGTTCACTGGTTTCAGCTGTTAGTTGGCTTTCAATCAATACGTTACGGGGTTCAAACCCTTCTCCACCACCTATCGAGGTTTGGATAGCCAGGTAGTAATAGTGGTATCATTAGGTCCTTCACTCACAATGGGTGTGTGTGTGTGGCTCACTGCAGCCTACTGCACGTCCGTGGAATACAAACATACATAGATCCACATGAATTGGTGAAATGTGCAAGAGAATAAACCAATGAACTTACTGTACTAGCACTCAATGCTAACTCAGTGCCAAACAATGGTGCTATAAACGATACACTAACATCGCCAACATCCCCGAATGCTTTAGCAACTATATAGACAATAAGCAGTCCACGAGTTAGTCGTTTTGCATTACGTGATGATAAGGAGAGTACAGATGAATATGAAAGTGTGATGGTTTGATGAGGCATGAATAACTGACGAGGGTATACCACTAATTGAGTGGACCATATCTCTGAAGAGGAAAAAAAAGAGAGGAAATCGTTCTTACTAAATTTTACATTACCATAAAGTAGTGACCGAAACGTATATGACAATACCAGACAGATCATAGAACAACGTAGAACCTTGTAAACACAACTGCGTCACTTTACAGCGCAATGCAAAGAACAGGTGGATAGAAAAGGCTGATATCATGGTTCAAATCAACAGTCGGAACCTTTATAGACTAATCGCGTGGCTTGATCTGGCCACCTGCTAACCTTCTTCCAATCCAATCCTACTTGGGCTAACATCCAGATAGGCGGTGGCTAAGTATTCGCAACACAATGTCCAAGACATCTGAGTCACTTAAGATTCACAACCGCATCAACTGACTTGAATGCTTTACCCATTAACCTTCGCCTCACCTCGACATCGGTCACATGGCGACTCCACTATACGTGAGCAATGAGGCGAGTACACTGATGTTCGAAAACGGGAGAATGGATTGTAGCGCAGCATACTCGCCCTCTGACAGGTAGCCGAATATCTCATCAGTCAGAACCAGAGATGATGCAGTCTGATAAATACCAAACGGGTCTTCTGCATTCAAGCTGAGATCGCACCAGCAACTAGTCTGTTCGCGTTGATGCAAACGTTCGTCAACGTATTACCACTAGTCAAAAAGAATCTATTAACAGAGTAGAGATAATGGCTTATTGACTTAAGCCCTCCAATTTCACCTAGTGGGTACCACTCTAGAACACCGCCCTCAGCTCTCCTGTCTCAACAGAAGACTGACTCCCTAAGTAACTAAGGACTTTTCACATCCTCGTTTCTCAAAAAATTTTATTATGTTTCTTTTACGCTGATCCCCCATCTATATTCGAACTGACTATCGTTTCAACCTTATTTGTTATTATTACGACAATTTTACCCCACCCACTTATTATTTTGTTCCGAAAATATTTTCACATTATTACATAATCGCCTCTAGTGATGATCGATTAAATTACATCAGTACATAGGATTAGACAACATGAAGTCGATTACCCTCCAGTGACCAATCAATGTGTCTAATTCAGTTCAACAGCAGGTCAGTAGTCATCACTTGAATAGCTCAGTGATAGTGTCTCTGACTGAAGCACTGGGTGATGCAGGTCCGAGTCCCAAGCGGGACATCAGTTCCGCTGAGGTTCCAGACACTCCTTGCTGACGAATGCCAATATGCACGATATCTAGGTCCAAGGCGTTCTGTCAACTGCCTTAGTCAGACTGATATCGATTTCTAATCTAAACTCCTTTATTTGCGAAAATTCCTGATATATCAAATATCGGACTCACTGCTTGAAACTTCTTTGTATTCTGAATTGTAATATTTTTTCTGGCCTTCTTCCAGCCTGAACCTAACTTGAGCGAAAACTGTGCGAAGAAGCAGATAGTGGCTAGGCACGTGTAACACATATCCCACTCATCTCAGTTGACAAACATTCACAACCACATCTCCCTCCTAAAACTCTATAACTGACTTCTGCATTACTCACGTGGTGAAACCAGGACACACGGTCTATGCTACGAAAGGCAACGGTGGTCAAACACCTGAAGCCTTCTAGTGTCTTCTACCTCTAATGGCCATGTTTCACAGCTATGCAATAGAACAGAGCGGACTGCAGTACAGTACGCACGATCCTAAATAGACAGTCTGACATCACTGCGGTGCCACAAACGGCATAAATAAACGAAAGTTAGTAAGACCTTTAATATTTGTGCAGAGATTCCGTCGGTCACTGATCCACCCACCAGGGCTGAGATCTGACTTCCTAGACAAGTGAAGTAGTCAACAAACTCAACCACTTTATTTTCTTTTCTTAGCCGGAGCACCAATGAAGATCAGTCCTGGAGCAACAATTTGCATTTTGATGGGAAGAAATGCATTCCAAATGCTTACAAGTTACCACACAAGGTGTGCAGAAGACTCGGCATCTTTTCGGCATCTTCACCTAATAAAAGTATGTCATCTGTACATCCTAGATCTACCAAAATTCTCTCGTGATTAGATAGATCCCTGTGAAGATAGACGATGAGAGGGGGATTTCTATAAGTACGTCTAGGATAAAATTAGATACGAAGGGAGAGAGTGAAGATCCTTGATGAACACCACTCAACGTACACAACTCACCTGACAACTCATCACAGGCACTAAGACGCTGACGGGTGTTTGAGTAAATGCTTTCAAAAGAGTTATGTACTTACTCGACACCCCTTTCAGTGAGAGATACTGTCATAGGACCTCACGATTGACAGAGTCAAATGCCATCACAATCAGGTCGAGAAGTACAGCTAGTATCGGACGTCGAATAGTGTGTCTGTGTTCCAGAACCTGGAGTGTGAATATCTGGTTAATACAACCCACGACTAGGTCTGAAGGTTGCCTAGTCTCCTTGCGTTCGCTGTCTCCGAGCTCCACTCAGACGTTTAATGTCTATAGAATCTAGGATCTTAGACACTGTATTCGTCAGGCTGATTCCTCTGTAGTTATCACAAGAGGACTTCTCACCTTTCTCAAAGACTGGAAGAATCACTTATTGAGACAAGTCAGGGGGGATCGTATCTGACTCTCATACACATTAGTTAACTTGACCGCCATCCTTAAATACCTCCGGAACTAATTGGTCTGGCCCTGCTGCTCTTCTACATTTCAAGTTACAGATAGTTTTCTCTGGAGCTCCCATCTGGATATTCCATTCAGACTCCGAATGGTCAGTCGAACTGTTCCTCGAAGTGTTCCGCTTATCGTTCCAGTTGTCTCCCTTGAGAATGTATCACAGACCCATCTTCCTCCTTTATCAAAGACAACGGTGGTCAAATACACGTGAAGCCTCCGCATGTCCTCTATCTTCAACAGCTCTATATTTCGAAATCACATAGAAGAGCAAGGCGAATTGAAGCAAAGTGCATTCAACCCTTAATAAGCAAACAGTCAGATATATCACAGTAGTGCCTTCAACGAATGTAATTTAACGAAAATCAACCGAACCTTTTTCCCACACACCAACTGAAAATATATTCTATCCAATTAAAATGACACCTCAAAATACGAAACCTTGTGCACATTTATGCAGTAGGCAATTAGGGCTAGTGATACTAACCGGCTGTCCAAATCTCGGTAGGTGGAGCGGGAGTCGAACCCGTCACCCATCTCCATCATCTCCCGAAACCAATGAGCTACAGCTTCCTACTCAAAATACATCAAAAGATCTACGTGTAATGGGAATGAACTAGCCAATAAAAAAGGGAACCATGGATTCTTTTTAAAAACAACTTTAAAATAGGCTTTGCCTACCTTTGATCATCTAGCTTGGAGAGAAATTCATCTACTGCATTGTTCAACTTTGCATCAACACCATCATTGATATCTTGTGTATCAGATAATAAATCCTTGGTGGACATCAACTGTTTGCCTTCTTTCGACTTTAATTTTCGATGCAATCGTTTTTTTGTCTTACTAGACTCCACTTTTTCCGGCGGTGTTGACGATAGCGGAGGAGGAGGTGAATCTGGATCGATGATATGCCGTGGCATTAATACAGCTGTGACTAGTAGGTGTAAACAGATGGCAGCCATTATCACAGTTCCACCTCTAGCACTGTATGTGGCATTTAAATAGGTGATCAACGAGGGGAATACCATTTGACCAACACTGACACCGGCTACACTAATCCCATTCGCCAGGCCTAGATAACGCTTGAAGCAACAACCGACAACAGCAAACACAGTGAAGTAGATACAAGATAATGAAGCTCCTAGATGCGGTAGAGGAAGAAGAAACCACAAAGAACATATATCAGTAGAGAGTATCTTTCTTTCATCCTCTTTGCAATTTATCTGAAAAGCAAATATCGGCAAGTTTATGTTGTAGCGTACTTGGTGGCTGGCTTTTCGCCCCGGATTCGAACCCGGTGTTCACTGGTCTAACAAACGCCAAAGTGTTCGCCATCCACTGGGCCACCTCTTGTGTAACTGGTATCAGTTTTTGCTCACTGATACTTGTGACTTCTCGTTGCCATACAGGGCCGAATTGCTCGACCTCTGTTGGCAGATGGGCTCCTATGCGGAGGCTTCAATGCTACCCGAATACTTATGACGTTGTACTGTTGACAAGTTTATTTGACGAAATCCATTTCACTTCAATCGCCGACGGGTTTCGCTCAACTGCCATATGAATCCCTCATGTATAGCTGTGCGTTTCTCGTAATAACACTCATACTGGCTGTCCAGTCCAGTCAAGACATTTCATAACAATCCAAAAAGCCTTCATCATGAATTATCAGCTTGGCTCTCTGAGATAGCAGGCGTGGTTTTGTGTTTATTGATACTACATGATAATTGAAGGCGAAATGAAAACCAAGCGTTGCAACGGACTTCAAACTGATGGTCTCATGCTCTACGAACAGAGTTACATGAAACTCAGCTGTTGATTGAGAAGTCTTAATTTCACTCATTATTGTTCCTTACTAATTTTGCAACAAACTAAAGAACAGAAATGCAGGCATTGATCTTGATGACTAGCAGAGGAATCCAGGACGCACGTTTCGTTGCACAAAAGGTGGCTATCATATCCTATTAGCTTAGTGGATAACGCTCTGGTGTTTGAAGAGAAAGGTACTGAGTTCGAGCCTCAGTGAGAACACCACACACTGGGGTGCAGGTACATCTAGCTGACGAGTCCCAAACAGGACGAAACGTAGGTCCTGAATCCCCCTGGTAGTCACCAAGATTAATATAACATCAACAACAACACCAAGGCATCCGCATAAAGGCCCATTTGCCAAAAGACGTTGAGCAATCCAACCCTGTTCGCAACGGGAAATTACAAGTATCATAACGAGAAACGCAAGTAAATAAATATCATCATCACTATCGAAATAGGACCAGACATTACTACTGCGTAATGGTTCAAGTTGGCACACCTCATCATATGAGGACATAAAATAACAAAGTAGCAAGATGAAAAGAAACAAAGAAGAATCAGTGAAAAGCAATAGAAAGTAGTGAAAGAGAAGAGGAAGGAATAAGAGAAATGCTGAATTGAGTATAGCGGTTGAGATGAAAATGAAGTGTAGATACATATGCGATACACTACCACCGAGAGTCTCCAGCCACTGGTTTTCGTAGTCACGGGGACATCAACCGGTTAGTCTGCAACTTCCGGTACGACTCACGTCAACAGTCAAAGACTTCATGTATTGATGTCATGGTTTAGTCAAATCGTTTCGAGCCTTTTTCCGACTGAGCATACTTCAGCTAACAATGTGCAACGAGGTAGGCAGTGACTAGACACTGAGTCGATGAAGATTCACAACCGCTTCAACTAATGTTCTTTTTCTGTCCCAATTTTACGCCCCACCTTGGCAACACGATACGCAGCCAACGCTATTAACACAACGATGGTCAGATACCTGAGGCTTTTTCATGTTGGCCACATCTATTGGCCATTTTTCACAGCCATACAAAGGAACAGTGTTAACTGCAGCGTAGTACACTTGACTCTTAATAGGTAATCGGATGTCACGGCATCACCATAAATAGCATAATTTCACAACAAACAAGCGAACCTTTGGCATCCCATACAGAGATTTCATCGGTCACTGACCCCCTACCCCCTCCACCAGGGCTGATCCGAATTCCCACACAAGTGAAGTATTCAGCGCAGTCAACTACTTCACCCTCTATTACTAGATGAGGCACTATAGAAGTTCAGTTCCAGAGCAACCGTTAACATCTGAGCGGTGAGAAAGCGCACTTTAAACATTCACAAACTGCTGCATAAGATGTTCAGAATGTTGCATTTTTCCAACATCTTCACTACGAAAAACTAAACTATTCTGCATACTACTCTGGGTCTAGTAAGGAGTGTTTTGTTACAAGTTCGATCCCGTAAACTCAGACAAGGAAACGAAGGCATCCGAAAGACCGTCTATGACAAAATTAAATACGAATGTACACTTCATACATTGATTCCTCTAGAATATGGAGGACAGAGAAAATCTCCGACGGCAAATACTCAACGCATTAGAACTCACCCGATATTTTGTCATACAAGCTCGAACACTGTCAAATTTGTACGAATATAGGTATGCGGAGTCACTGAAGGTTCACAACCTCATCGACTGACCTGTATCCTTAAAAGTTAAGTGCATCACAGTCAATGAACAACAACAGAGAAAGAGGTGCACTTAGCAACCATGTACACATTCATCTAGTAGACAATGAGTCACACAATTAATGTGTGACGACTGCCCACACCTGGGTAGGTGGGGCGATATTCGAACCCGTTACTTATTGGTGAAAAATCAACTCCATGAACCAATGAGCCACGGCTCTACGAACAAAATCACCACCAGAAATGCACAAAACAGTAAGAATGCAAGTTTGCAACAGTCCTCAAAAATATAGAAAGTTATTTCTAAATCAATTAAATTTAGTCATCAGCGAATAGATGAGATTTGTGAGCATATCAAAATTGTACAGAACTGATTGGTCACTGGGGAGTAAACAATTTCATATTGTCTAATCAGGGGGTGTTGATGGAATCCTATCGATCGTTTTTGTGCTGTGATCACCAAGCTAGGAAATTCAACACTTTGACAGATATGACCTAATTCCATAGGAGGTTAGTTGTGACCCAAATAACTCAGTATTAATGTCTCTAACTGAAGTATTAGATGATGCGGGTTCATATCTGACGAGGAGCATCAATTCCCTCAAGCTTAAAGGTATGCCTCCCTGACGATTGCTAACAGGTGCGAAACCTACGTCAGGCAGGGTTTCTTGCTGGTTACTTTCTCTCTCTCTCTCTCTCTAGTGCACATAATCCAGTTTTACATGACGTCAACCGTAGCACAAATAACTCAGTCAAAAGGTCTCTGACTGCAACACTGGATGATACGGGTTCGAATCTGTTCACAGAGGACATCAGTTCCCTCTGGAGGTCACAGATATACCTTTCTGAGTAAAACCTAACAATAAATGCAAGCAAAGGACACAAAAACAAAGTACTATACAAACACATACCTACTCCGAAACCGATGGCAAACACCCAAAGAGTTAGATTAGGTGAACAGGCTGCAACTAGTAAACTTATACAAGAGCCGAAAGCACCAGCCATTACAACAGGTCGACTACCATATCGTTTGGAAATGAGATGATTAACCAAAGCTGAGAAAATAAAACAAACAAATAAATGTGTTAAAATTTAGAGTGACTTTAAAGGTCACCCAAGGAACTGTTGAAATAACCAATCAATTTCGTTATTTCGGCTTTGAAGGTAGTTTTTCATAAAATGGAGGAATGCTATTGGTTATTTTGACAGTTGTTAGAGTGACCTTTTAAGTCACTCAAAATGTATGAGGAAAAAAGTTAATTATTTCACACCAAATACAGAATAATAACGAAAAAAGTGCAAAAGCATCTCTGTTGCAAGGAGAAAATGATTATTCCCTTGAAAATCTGATACAGAAAAGTCGTTTTAGGAAATTCGAATGTTTTTGGATTTAAGAATTCGGCACTCAAAACTCGTAGGCTGAGACAGAAGTAGGTAGGCAGGAAGTTATGTATGTATTTATGTATGTAGATGGGTATATAGGTAGGGAGGTAGGTAGATAGGTAGGTACGGAGCTGTAATCACACAACTTTCGACATCTGATTTAGTGGTAGCAAAATTTTTCATATCTCTGGTACTAGTGTTACATTATTTCCATTATATGTGTTGGGTGTCGATTCGCTGAACGAAGATTGAGCAATCATTCCCCCTCACTACTTTATTTATATTGGACATAATTAAGTACAGTGGTTTTATCCTACCCTATTGTGTGGTTATGTGTTAATCTATGCATTGTAATAGCAGAGTTTTTTTCTAGATTATTGATCTTATTCGGGTCTGTCATTCTATATTTAGCCGAATTCCTTTGTTCCACTATTCTGACTGACCCCGACTGGCTAGTTTAACCCATGTACTTGACCTCGCAGTCATTACATGGAATTTGATAGATTAGATTATTTTGCTTCACTGGATCTATTGGATCCTTAAACCGACAAAGCTTATCTCTGACTGAGTTTGTAGATTTGAATGCCACCCTAATTCCAGCCTTGTTAAGGATCCTACGTGAAGTTTCTCATGTTCCTTCCTTATATAGTAACACAATAGAGGTTTGGGACTTATTTCTACTCGTGTTATCGCTATTATTTGCATTAGTATTACTGTTATTATTTCATTTATTTGTTTGTACGAATTTCTTAATAAACAGTAGAGCATAATTATTAAGTATTCAAAGCGCTTCATTTTAAACGCTTCAGTTCCTTGTGTAAATACTTTCATTGACTAGTGAGTTTTCAAGCTCTATTGTTTAGACATCTGATTAAACCCATCTTAATTGACATTGGATGAGAGGACTTGAAGTCTAGGCACCTGTTAGCATGGTGTCAGTTTCCTGTAGATGATAGTAACTTAACCACCGTATGTTGTTTGTCTTACTCCGCAATGCAACATAGATAATTCACGTTCTTCATTTTCTACCACATAAGTGAATTGGATTGTGCGTACTATTGAGTTGACATGTGTGACGAAACTGTCGACAAGTTCCGATTACAACACAGTAAATGTGTCATCCACCTATCACCCCTATATCTTAGGGTGCATGATCATGCGTGTGTAAAGTCATGTTTTCCCAACTACCTATAAATATATCTGCTACGATTGGGGATATTTGCTATCCCGTTTCTACTCTTTCTGCTTGTTTATATATTTTGTCCTGAAACTGTGGAGGTCATGCACAACTGTGTACGCCTAATATGATTTTATCAGCCGATATCTGAGTTCTGTGAGTCAATACTTAGTAGATTTTTGACTGCCTCTAGTGCCGCATTGATTGATATTTTACTATGAAGGCTCATTGTATCAAACCTAATCACTTCTTTTTCAGTCTGTTCTCTACGTAGGTTATTGAATCATTTGAATTCGTCAAAATTGACTAGTCTAGAATGCGTATGGTTTTTAATAGGACATAATACGGATGCTAAGGTACTTGTATAATGCACCTGTTGGAGTATTTCTCAAGTCAGCTATCAGTCTAATGGGATAACCTGGCTTATGAACCTTATAATACATACGTATCGAATTCGCCTCTGAATCACTCTCATGCAAATCTCCCCCGATCTGTCTGCCAATCCTATATCGACTACCAGATGATGATTTCAGCACTTGAGATCGAGTCCAGTATTTATGGGCAAAATCTAGGGTATGGGTCAAGGTCATTTATTGCTACACAGCATATAAGAACAACGTTGATGAAGAACAAAGGATATCAGTTGACTGATGAATCTCGGAAGTCGACTAATAAATCTCTTGGTACTACAAATAACCTGGATGTTGTGGTGCCACAAAAAGTCTGCAGAAACTGGTAAAACTGTCCTTAGCTATTGAAACTATTAAACACCAAGACGGTTACAATAAAGCGAAATCAATATTGGGACACATCTAAGCAACCGGCATTCCCCTAAAATCGTACTATGTTTCTCAATTAAATCAGCCAACCCACCCCACTGGCGCCGCTGGAAAAAAAACAGAAAGAAAGAACCCAACTACAAACGTTGTTGTTCGTCACAGGACCACTATCTATACACCACTCTAAGATACGCAGTATTGAGTGAGTGAGTGAGTGAGTGAGTGAGTGAGTGAGTGAGTGAGTGAGTGAGTGAGTGAGTGAGTGAGTGAGTGAGTGAGTGGAACCAAAGAGCAACCTGGTGCACATCCGTGCCACAGGCAGGGAGCTACACACCCATTGTGTGTGACGGCTAATGAGACTACTACCTTACTATCTCAACCTCCGTAGATGGAACACGGAATTCGAACCCGCGACCTAGTGGTTGAAAGTCAAGTGCCCAGATAGATGAGCCAGAGCTCCGCAAAAAACTAAAGAAACCAATTACTTGATGAATATCACCAAAATATAAAACACGTGTATCCATTCAGTGTAATGAGGTGTATGAACAAATCGGGGAAAGTAGACACAAAAACAGGAGAACTTACACAAACAGTACATGAGTGTATAGATTAAACCACCGGCTAAAAATAGATAGGCTGATCCACATTGAAAGACATCTTGAAAGGCTTCCATAACCAGACTATACGATTTGCCTAAACCACCCAGAAGTAGGTTGGCGACAAAACCACCTAAGTTTCAAGAAAAGAAAAAACAAACTCAAAAAACGTCATGAAAAGATAATTAAAGAAAATTATTTCCTAAAATATTATCATTGGTGAGTCAAAGGTACAAATGCACTCTAAGAGGGTGCACTGAATTGTCGGCAAAGTTCGACTTATGAGAGAGGGGAGAGGGGGGAGGAGAAACCCAACACAACTGACAGCATGAAATGAGTGGAAAAAGCCGATACAGAAATTCGCATGCACTCAACTGTAACGACCTTAGCGCACTTCAAAGCACCATGCCAAGAACAAATGGATCAAGGAAGCGTGATATCAAAGTATATAAATATTGAAAAATGACGGTTAGTTAAAGCATTCAAGCTTTAGAAGACATCAAACAATGAATACATCTGCAACATTGTGACCGATTTTCAGCTATGTCATATCAAGGGTATCCAACTCCATTCCTACTGTCAAGAGGAGTGTAAACAAGTAGTTTAAACTTCCCTACACACTTCAGAACAACAGTCAAAAACTTCACCGACATATGGAATATTTAAGTCTGCCCACCTTCAGCCTTCTTAAAACCTAATCTGCCTTTAGTTAGCATTGAACATCGAAGAATCCGGTGGCTCGCCATGCGTAGGACCTATACAACCCACTTCAGTCGGTGAAGATTTACGTCATCGACTGACTACCCTTCGCCTTAACTTCACATTGCTAACGTGGTGATTCCACTATATTCAAACAATGTTACGAAGACACGTATGGTCATTTCATATCTTCTACTTTCTAAGGTCATATCTCACAGTCGTATAACAGGATAGAACGAACTGTAGCGCAGTCGGAAATCTCGCCAATCAGCGTGGGCGATGATGCAAGTTGGAAAATGTCCGACGGGTCATCTGTTATTGCAGCTGGAACCACATCAGCAATCAGCCTCAAAATGAGCCCAATCATCTAGGCAATCAGTGATTGAAATATGCATCACCAAGTTCTAAATGGCTTTTTAGACAATAAATCCGTCTTTTATAGAGTTTGGATGTTCAGTTGACGCATGCATACATAGTCTGGCGAAATAAGTAAACAGTATGTTCAATAAACTTTATCTTTGTGAATCAACATTACTCTGTAAAATGTCATCTTATCATCTCAGTCCACGTGATGAGTAAACAGGCGCGCTGATTTATCCAAAACACAAAATAACTTGAGTAGTCGTCAGATACCACTCAGGCTGGTGACCTAGAGATTCAGTCAACCAGCCGGATTAGAGTGAACTGAACACCAGACGACTATTTCGCCTATCTGGGACCGAGCTTATCACCAGCGGAGTACCCAGAGCAATTCAGCTCATAGAGGAGCTGAACTGGTTTAGCCGGAGTGCTTTCTAACTGTTCAAGCTGTTTAATAGTATTATGTTACTATTCAATAGCTTATGATGACCAACAAACTTTATTAAACAAATTGTTATAGTCTGAAAAACATGGACACATGTTATGTCGAATCCATATGCATTCACCAACCACATGCACATATGTACAGCAGATAATAAGCCATACAGCTAACGCTACTGCTAGCCACCTAGCTAACCAGAAACTTCAGTAGGCGGAGTTGGGTTCAAACTCATGACCCAACGGTTGTAAATTGAGTGTTTAGACTAATATTAGCTCCAACTCCATATAGAACTAGTCATTATCTATCTAATTCATCAAAATATTGATCACAGTTGGAAAGAATATGGTACACAAAACATTTCACATCATAATTATGTAACATGTAGTGTGTAAGTCATGTTTCATAGGCCAACCAACTGTACACACACACAAAGACAAGTAAATATTTCAGTTTACAACTGTGTCAATCAAAATTAAATAATTTCTCTCTGGATAATTCAACTTTAAGTGGATACATGTCGAATGTAAACTGCACCTTGATCGATAACCAACAAACTAAACTACGTACATAATAACATTTAACAGGCATTAAAAAATGTAGTTAACTCGTTATATGTAAAATATTCAGTGGGGTTTAACGAATAAAGCTATGGCTAATTGATCTAGTTATTTAGTTGACTTCCAACTGATAGGTCATTAGTTCAAACCGTGCTACGACTGTCGAGGTTTTTAGGCAGCCGTGAGGTAGTGTATTATTATTTGCTTTCACACAATGGGTGAATGTGTGACCAGAAACCTGGTGGTCACTGGTTCAAATCCTACCACGGTCCAAATTTTTCCACCTTTATCACCTAGTATCAATAATACTGGGCCTGCTAAACCACGGCTATCTCAGATAATTCAACAGGTATTATTATTAAACGACTCGAGTATCTACACACGAAACCATATAGAGACAGTTGTCTTCAAAAACTGATAGGCTGAGTTCGAGCCCGTACTTCACCACTTGAAGTTTGAGACAGTTAGATAGTAATATTTTATTAGCCGTTACACACCAGGTGGGGTTAGTTGTCGACTAGTGCATGTCGGTTTGTTGAGAGTATATCTTGACTTTTGCACTACCTATACCCTTATTATGGTAAAATGAAATGAACACAGGATAAACCATTAGGTGTCCGCGTTAACCAATAGCATTCCCCTAACCTCCTGGTCCATAATAATGTAAGAAAGCTCAAACAACCTGAACTTCTGATTATTTACTGGTTTATTAAGCAGGTAGTTTTTAACCAGTGAGGTTCCGGTTTCGAATCCCGCTTCACCGAATGAGACGTTTAGGTAACCAGCCAGATATTATTGCTAGCCTCAAAACAATTCGTTTGGCCCATTGTCTAGTGTACTCGAACCTAAAGATGCTTGCCGAGTTAGTAAGTCACTTCATCCTGAAGAGATTGAGTCACATAAAACATGCGACCCACTGTAAGCGTTCATCGGTGGAAGTTGTCACACGTGAGACTCGCAAAAATAGAGAAGACAAGATTTAAATAAGCATATGATATATATGAATCTGCACTGAACAGATCCATATGGTGAACTAAATCATACAGTCTCATGATCAAACGTCAGAAACTTTTCAAGGACTGTGGCTGTTGTTTAACTAGTCAGAAAAACGTGAAGTGTCCTTAGTTGTGTATTATTTTATTTATTTTAAAAGGCAGTCTACTCATGACTTATTTTGGTAACATTATTGTATAGCTCACCTCGGTTGAAGAGGTTTCAATTGACTCCTCATCCGTTTATGTATTATTTATAGCAGTTCGTAAATAACTGCAGCATTCTGAGTGAAATCAACATATCCAGCATTTTGTACATCCCACATATTTTGTGCTTGAAATTAACTAGTTGTTTCATTTTTATAAATTATGGTGGGTTATGGTTAGGAAGTTCAGATCACTTGAAATAGGTACGGATAATAAACACCAGACTTTGTGTCGTGTTGTGAGCGGTTGCTTTGGAGGACCGAGAAGTATGACTCATCGTGTCGGCCGATGGATTCAGTATAATACAAGGCAGGGCAAGTACACTGGAGGTGAATTACTTCTTAAGGTCAGTGCGTTGAGATCGAATCATATGCATGAGACAAACGCAACCAAACAAAGCGATAAGAGATGCCATGTATTAGTCAAAGCAACTCGGTAGTCTGTGATCCTAATCCAGCCAAAACAATACTTTTAGACAGATGACGGCTCAGAATGAATATTCAAACAACTTCAGATGATGTAGGTTAATAACCTGACCAACTTGTTAACCTCATTCACCTAACACTCAGTCTTTGACCTCCGCAGTGAACAGACAGTAATTCACCATGGGCTAACGATGTTCTAGCGACAATGGAAAACAAAGGTGTACATTATATGAGTTGTTTAAAATGTCAATAGACAGACCAAATAAAGCTAGAACTACCCATACACAAGTGGGTGTTAAACTTCTCATACACTTCACAGCAGTATGCAAAATCTGATATCAAAGTACATAAAGAAAAAGAGAAGAAGGAATTCAGAAATCAGAGTTTTTCAAAAATATTCAAGGCGAGAGAAGAAGATAAGCGGTAAATACGTCTGCGCTACCGTCAATGATTCTCAGCCATGTCACCGGAGTCCTTAACCACTGATTCCCTTCGTCTCGAGGACCCCAACCAGGCAGTTTACATCTCCCAAACGTCTCAGACCAACAGTAAAAGACTTCATCCACTGGTGCCACATCTCAGCATCCTGATTCAACTTCTCCTAGCATGGCACGTCAAGGAAGATGGCGGTGGCTCGGCATGCGCACTTTATGCTCAAGCCATCTTAGTCGAATAAGGTTTACAACCTCATCAATCGACTTGGCTACCCTTTGCCTGACCTCAACGGTGTTCACACGGTGATCCCACCGAGACGCGAGTAATGCTAAGAAGACGCCTATAATCAAAACCCTGTAACCACGCCTAATATCTACTTTTAACACACATGTATTGCAAATCTAAAAGCAGAATGCCAATTTCTGTAACAATAGTAGAAAGAAAAGTATTGTTAACAAATTGCTAACATTTATGCAAACCAATAACCAACTTACCAACTACTGTGCACCACGCCATTCCACGGTCCACGTATACAGTTGACATTATGTAAATGCTTCAGGAATTTTTATCCTATTAACATCAGATACAAACACTGGTTTAGAAGTAGAAATGCAAAACTGTGATTAGGACCAAAGAGATACATTGAAATAAATGCGCCAAAGGTTTATATTTCGAATCCAACCAGTATGTAAATCTCTCCTAAACGGAAACTGTGAATTTACAAGATATCGGATCTACCAAACCATTGAAATCCAATGAAGCAAGGCTTACGAAACTTGGTACTTGATGACAACTGGTTATAGTAAGACCACTCGCGGCTTAATAAATTGGTTTAGGCGGTTGACTTTCAACCAGTGGGTCACAGGTTTCAGCCCTGAGCTGCACCTACCGAATTTCGGTGAGCCAAGTAGTAGGGGTAATAGTATCATAAGGCCTCATACAAAAGGTGTGGCTACAGCTCATTGCTATGATGTTAAGTTTCATTTTCCATCCAGATGAACTCACTTTTTGTAGACTAAGCTGTTTATGAAGTTCGTCGACGTTTCCAATCGAAATTTCGTCTCCTTTACGCCCTCCAAAAAACACTGGTCTCTCATTGTCTAAAATTTAACTAAGACTTCATTCAAGACCGTATAGCAACTTCCACAACATTTTATTGCTTTCTTCAGTTAGTCGACCAGTCAAAATTAACATTGGACCTGGAATTACTCTGAAAAACAGACAAAATCAAAGAATATCACTTGACTTGGATAGCGGCCGGATTCGAACTGGCAACCACTGGGTGTCCGGCTAGATGCTTTATCACTGAACCGACTGCTGACCAGATTTTAATTTCCCTTCAATCACCAAGGGTTTTGCTCGACTGCCACATGAATTCGTGACTCCTTACTACCGCGGTCAGAATTTTCATTTCACCTTCAGTAACAACTCAGTATAAACACTAGTCTGCCAAACTACGGCTATCTCGGTCGAATGATAATCAATATGTTCCTCTTCTCTGATTCAGTTAGATCTGGATTGGGATGAGAAGTCCTGACTGGGCAGTCAGTGTCAATACGACCAATCAGTAGTAATTTCAGTTGTATACAGAAGGCCCATCTGGCACTTACCAATTTGTGTGACCTCTGGCACCTACTGGGTGACATCCGGCTATCAACGAATAAGTATACTGTGCCGCAGTCCTGTTCTACGGTTGACATGGACGTTAAAAGTAGAAGACGTGGCTCAGTTTCAGGGTTTTGAATAGAGCATTTTTTGCATTTGGTGGAATACCTGTGTGAGCACTGTTGAGGTCAGGTGAAGGGTAACAACCAGTCAACGTAGACAAGTCGACTGATGAGGCTGTGAACCTTAGTCGACTGAGGTGTTTTGGTGAGCCACTGCCTACCTCGAAGTGCCAGGCTAGGGGAAGTTGGATTAGGTTGAAAGAGGGTTCAGGGTGGCCAGATCAAGAAGTTGCACCAGTCGAACAAGTTCCTTTCTGCTGTTCTACGCCGCATGGGAGGTGCAGATTACCTGGGTGGGTTCTCTGAGACATCACGAAACAGTGGTTGTTGACTCTTGGTGGTAGCTGAAAATTTGTCACAGAGGTGCAGAGATATTCGCTCCTTGACGTCTCTTACAGCTTGAATATTTGCTCTAGCCTTCACCTTTAGAGTGCTTATTCCCTCTCACAACTTTGTCTGCTTTGATATCACTCTTATTCTATCCACCTGTTCTTTGCATGCCACTATGAAGTGCATGGAAACTTGAACCGATGCACTTATGTGTGCATCGTTCTAGATTGATTCCGCTCGTCTATGTAATACCCATAGGTGTCACACCTGAGTGATTACCAAGAGTTCACTTCCAACTTAACGAACTCCGAGCACTGTATGTCAAGGTTACAGGTAGCTCGGTATGTGCAGCACATTTTCAAGCCATCTTCGTCGATGAGAATTCACAACCTCGCCGACTGACTTATGTCTTTCTAAGCACCTTTCCCTTATCTCAACATTGTGTGTACGGTGATTCTACCAAACACAAGCAGTGCTACAAAGATATCTGTGATCAAAACCTTGTAATCCCTTTATGTCTTCTAATTTTAACGGCCATACGTCGCAGCCGGATAACAGGACGAAATGGACTGCTCTGTAGCATACTAGTCTTTTTATATGTAATGCGATATCTTGCTAGTAGGCGCCAGAAATGATATAAGTTGGAAAATGCTGAATAGGTCTTCTGTAAACGAGATAAGATTTCGTCAGCAACCAGCCTGTAAGGGTCGATGCAACTTTTTCAGTGAGTGAATTGGTTAATGTATTCAGGATGAATTGAGACATAGAGAAGCTAAGAGAATAAAAGACAACTGTGGCAACGGAATAAAATTTACCCCTGACAAAGAAACTCAACATAAATTGAAAACTGAATTCCTGACACAAATATTCGGTCACATTATTTTTGCTCTTTAACTAAATGTTCTACAAATAAATTAGACGCTGTAAACTGCGCGGTTGCAGCGCAAAATGACACCTAGTTTAAACGTATTTTTGTAGTTGTCACACTTAACATCAGTTGAAGGTGTACCATAACATATTTTCGACTAAACTGTTGACCTAGAAGTCAGTTCGTTCGCGGTTACGCAATTTATCCTCTATGCGAAATGCACCTCAAGTGTCCAACCACGGTTGCCTTCGCAGCATAGACCACGTGTCGTGGTCTCACCGTGCCAGCAACGCAGAAGTTAGGAGCAGAGGTTATAGCAATAAAGAGTCAGTTGATGAGGTTGTAACCCTTTATCAACTCAGTTGGAACCTGTTACCCAGGTCTAGTTATCGTCTGCATCACCGTGTAATGTTTGACGAAGGCTCACGTTGAAAACAGATTAGAGGCGACCAGACTACAAAATTTCGTCAGTCCGTGAAGTCTTTGGTTTGAGCCGAGCAGAGATATAGACTTCCCGGTTGGGGTTCGCGAAACAGCCTAAATGGGCGATTTAAGACTCTTGATATCAAACGGCTTGGAATCGATGGCGATGGCACAGATGTATCCACGTATGATCATCATAATCGTCATACTGAATTTCCTTCCCCTTAATTGTTTTAACGGCATGCTACCTTTTTTGACTACTTTCTTCTTTGTTTCCATCTTTTTATCGTCTAATTTATGCCGATATGAAGTATGGTAACTTGAACCGTTATACAATAACACTAAGTCGCATGCTGGCTGTGAGTGACTGCCGTTGTATCATATATGACCAGAATTTATTGTCACCTCACTTTACCCCTCAGTAAAAATTCCTGTTCACCCAGTTTGATTTTAGCTGGTATTTTGAGCCTACACGACATTAAAGCTAAAAGAAAGTGGCCGTTCTATAAAACTGTTTACCGCATGGATGGCACGACAATATTATGACAGGAAACAAAATGAAAATGGAGACTTCAAGTCGAAGTCAAATTGCGACACAATTTTCGATAATTCGTTTACATGGGCATAGAAGGACTGATAAGAATAAACACTCTTGATATCTTGTAAGTGATAGCGAGCATTTAAAAACTAGTGATCATCCTATAAATCTTACGTCACCTAATGGTTAAACTGACTACCATGACTAGACATGACACCTATTATTACATATGCGGATGTGTGCAGTAGTACGCAACAAATATGGAGTTTTGGTAAGCCTTCAGTGGGTAGGAAAATAGGCTATTAGCCTACTAATATTCACAGTAGAAGATCCAGTTTTTCTCTGAAATATTTACGAAAAGAGCTGCTGTCATTCGTTTAGAGAACGAGTTCCAGTGGTTAACCAGTCTACAAAAGAACCATTACCCTACTCGGAGATGATTCGATTGAGGCTTTTTAATTTATTCCCAGTGTCCTTTGAGGTGATCAGTTCTATGGGAAGTAAAGAAATAGGAAGTGAAAATCAGACCACCTCTTTTCCTATAAGGGGAAAAGGTTAGGTAGTGATAATCACACTCCGCAGGGAAGATGGGAGGGAAGTGTCATTAATTTGGTGTTAGCTTCCTATAGGAAACAGAAAATCTACCTGGTTATAATACTAAAAAAGCCTGAGTAGGATCCTAGACACCATCGAAACGACTATGACACATGAACCGCTCCAACTGAAGAAGCATTACAACCGCAAATGTCTTCAAATGGTGATATACAACAACCCGTGGGTCTTAACTGGAAGGCTGTTCACTGATCACCCACTCCCAGTGCACATTACCGCGTTTTTACTGGGAGCGATTTCCAAATCCATCGTTTAGATAATTCAATCTGACCTTAAGGTCAGATTTAGCACCTTAATGTCTTCAGCGATTTGCAATGACAACTCTAAATTGAAGAAATTTCTCAGGGATTCTACGCAATGGAAACACCATGTCTTAGCCGAACATATCGTAACAAAATATCATAACTTTCCAGAATTCCGGATAAAATTGTCATTTCATTGAATAACACACTGCAATGGAACAGCTGCATGTGATCAATAAAAGAAGACAGAAAACAGTCACCATTCTTACACAAATTATGAAACCAGTGGAACCACCTCAACAACACATGCTCAACATCGAATTAAATAGTGCGGACCGCCACCAAAAATCCTTGAGTTCATGTAGTGAACAAATCAACCAACTAAAACCATCTAAATGGTTTCAAATGGTTGGTAACGAAAAGCAAGAAGTTTTAGCTTATCCGGCCTTCATCTAGAACCAGTGCACGACGAGCTTTGCTTTTTCTGACTCTAGATACAGTAGTCGTAACAAAGGAAACAGTCATCCACTTGCTCATTAATATTGCACCTGCAAACTCCTTAAGTCCCGATGAGTTGTACCCTAGATTGCTATCTTTACTGGCATAAACTGTTGCTGAGTTAGTCACTGATATTTTGAATGTATCCCTGTCCCAAACGCAACTCTCTAAAGACTGGAAAGATGCTACAATCAGCCAAGGTTTTAAGACCGATGGTCTCCACATGGTAGCTGACCACCGCTCTATAGATCTGATTAAAATAGTTACTAGTTTAATGGAAGAAGTAGCTGGTGGTAAGACGATTG